GGCCGCCGTGACCAGTCCCTGCGGCTGAGGAAAGGCGGGGCGGGGCGGCGCGGCCTGGAAAGCGGCCCGGGCCACGCTGCGGAGAACGTTCTTCCGCTCGGTCCCCCGCGTTCGCGCAGGAGCGGCTCCGTCGGCCTCCCGCGCCTCGCGCCTTTCCGCGTGGTCTCCTCGGCCTTTCTGATGGCGCCACTGGCGCTGGCGCCCGGCGCGGGGTCCCGCACGCTGCCAACCTCCCTGGTCCTTTGTGCCCCTGGTGGATTCAGTGAAGCCGCAGAAGTGTAGGTAGAATGTGCGGTAAAGGAGCGGAGAACTTGCACCTGCGAGGGAGAAACAAGGCTGCAGCGAGCGCTAGAGGGCTTCGAGTCTGGTTGTCGTCTTGTGTGCGCAAACGAACTCCTCGGGGCAGGGGAGCCAGGGTGATTAAGATGCTCATCAATATTTTTCTTAGATTTTACTTTGGAATTGTAAAATGCCTTCACGTCCCTTTCAGATTACCAGTGTTCTCTATTTTGGGGACAATGGTTTTTTTAAATTTTGTTTTGGCTGGCTCAGCCCATCCTGAGAGGCGGGCTGGCGAGGCACAAGCCGGGGATCAGGATCGAACTGCCGTCCCCCGAGCCTGCCTAAGCTTGCCTAAGCTGATCCTGCCAGTATTCTCTTAAGGGACTTAATCATGTAAGAAAGTTATGAAAGAAATTGAAAAGAAAGTTGTTTATTTAAACCAGGTCGCAGCCTAAGTAGAGGGCCTTAAAAAAAAGCTATCCTTTCCTGATATCACTGGGCCGCAACCAATAGCGACCAGGAGTGCTGTGTGCCGTGTTCTACAAGTAGAGGCCCTGTGCCTCTGGGATGGAGGTCTAATAGGTGATTATAAATATACATTGAAGCCTTTGTTTCTTTACTTACCTATACCTGGAAAAGAGTGCTGTTTTCTATTCCCTGTTTTCTTTGTCCCTCTGGCCATTATTATCTAACAACCTGCCCAACACAGGCTACCACATCCACCCAGGGATGCAGTTTGTTAGTGCAGTCCCTCCCTGAGGGCAGTCCTACCGTCCTATATCTCCTGGTGGTTTTCAGTTTTTAACTGTTACAAAAAGCAGTTCATTGAGCCCTATTCGTGTTTTGTTCTTGCTGTTACTTTTATTTATTTTAAACTTTTGCAGGGCAAGCATTTGAGTTCAGTTTGCACAGGGCTATGGGCCCCAGCTCTTTACCCTTTTTGGTGTTACTGGGGACTGAACCCCAAGCCTTTGCACTGAACTATGTCCCAACCCCTCTTTGTGGTTTATTTAATTTTTAAACTTTAAGACAAAGTCTCACTAAGTTTCCCAGGCAGGGCTCAAATTTGTCTTATCTTTTGAACGTGATTGTTTGTTTGTTTGTTTTTGTCTTGAGACAGGATCTTGCTATGGAGTTTAGGCTGACTTAGACTCACTGTGTAGCCCAAGCTAGCTTCAAACTCGCAGTAATCCTCCTGCCTCAGCCTATCAGATGTTGGGATTACAGGTGTGAGCCACAAACAACCTCACCAGTGATTATTTGTTTGAAATGAGTCCCTCCTAAATGCTTGTGATACACATTCTGAAATGGCCCTTAGAAAAGTTATTCTTGCTTTTGTTCTTCCATTTAAGTAGCATTTGGGAATATCTGGCCCAGAGAGCTTCTTGAGACGACTGGATGACCCTCCAAAGTCCTGCAAAGGACCTGGGCATGTGATCACCTTTTATGGCTGGTCTTATGAGGAACTTTTGCTGGAAAGGCAACTTTAAACATTTCAATAATTTTTAAAATACATGGTCAATTCAGTACACATAGATCTAAAGTAAGTCAAAATTGATGCTGGGTTAGTGAAAATAGTGGAGATTTTTTTTTTTTTTAAAGTCATCACTGAACCATAGATACTGGGTTGATTTGATAGGAATTTTCAAAGATTATGGTGATAGGTAAATCAGGAGATGCTCACAGAAACTTCTTTGAAAATATGTAAGTTTCTAGTTACATGATTCCTATTGTGAACAAAACTCTGTTCTTTTCACTTTAAAATCTTGTAAAGATTGTGAGGGATTTAAAATTATTTTGTACTTTTCAGTTTAAGCACATAATCTTGAAAAGTCAGGCTATGTATAAGATTTTTAAAGTGACAGTGAGTTTATTCCTTCCAAGTTCTCATCCAAAGCCTTCCTACCTAGAAGGCAGTGTAGGACTCTTCCTCTGTGGGCCCATTCTGCCCTATGCTGGTTCCTTTTATAAGGATGCTCCTATTACTGGCCTACAGTTGTTTTTTGGTCTTTCCAGTCTTCTCCACTCAGTTTAGTGCCCAGCGCAGTGCCTAACACATAAATGCCCAGTAACTGCTGGTGTCCTGGACAAAATTAGAATATGACATGTACTTATTAAATTGAGTTGTAACTTAGATCTAACTTGCATGCCATAAAGTTCACTCATTTAAAGTGTACAACTCAGCTTTTGTATGTCTTTGATACTTTCTTGTTGCTAAAATAAAATACCCTATACCCATAAGTTGAAGGAGGACAGCTTTATTTTATCTCACACTTTGTAGAGGTTTTAGTCCCTAGTGGCTGGCTACAAGGCAGGGCAGAATGGGAGAAAGGTATGGCAGAGGGGAAAACGGTCCATGGCAGGGTGGGAAGGAAACAGCATCAGTGAGCCTTTCTTTTCTGTATATTTCCTCTAGGTTATAAATCTGTTGCTTGGTGACACCTACATCCAGGGTGGGACTGAGGTTTTAAATTAATCCATTCAGACATATCTAGAACTATGATAAACCAATTAGCAGGCTAAACCAGAACCACATATTTTTAATCCCAGTATAGTTTCAGATACCCATAATCCAGTCACCTTCCAAAAGATCACCTATGAACACATGAGGCTTGGAGGTAACCTCTAGATATAAGCCATAACAGTATAATAGTGAACTATTTCTTAAATTATGGTAAGTAAATATGTAACAAATTTACCACTTTTGAGTATACATTTCAGTGGCATTAATTACACTCAGTGTTATGCCTCTATCCTCACTACTTTCAAAACTTTTGCAATACCTGAAACAATCAATGTAATCATTAAACAATAATTTCACTTCCTCCTTTCCCGTCACTTGTAACCATTAATCTACTATGATTTGCCTAGTCTAGATATTATGTATAAGTGAAATTGTTACAGTTGATTGGGCCAATAATAGTCCATGTTTTTGTGTAGATGAGGAAAGAATTCCCAAGTATACACCCAGTAGTAGTAAGTAGTAAGCAGCTATGTTTTCTGAAGATCATCAGAAGTTGTGCTCAGGGCCAGTCCTTGCCAACAAAGATACAATGCAGACCAAGAAAGGTGCCAGGGACTGTGTTACTTTTCTCTCATTGCTGAGACAAAATACCAGGATAGAAAGGGGCCAATAGGGGGCCGGGAAGATGGCTCAGTAGAATAACAGCTTCCCTGGCAAGCGCAAGGGCCTGAGTTCCATCCCCGGTTCCGCCAAAAAAAAAAGAAAATAGAGAAGAAAGGGGACCAGGGAGATGGCTCAGTGGAATAAGCACTTCCATGTCAAGCACAAGGGCCTGAGTTCAATCCCTGGTTCTGCAAAGAA